GACTGTTCATTGTGGAAAAGGAAATAATTAGACTTTTCAGGGATTATTGGATACTGGCTCTGAATTGACACTAATTTCAGGAGACCCAAAATGTCACTGTGGCCCACCAGTCAGAGTGGGGGCATACAGAGATCAGATTATTAATGGAGTGTTATCTCATGTCCGTCTCACAGTGAATTCAGTGTCCTTGAATCCTTTCTGTAGTGATTTCCCCAGTTCCAGAACACGCAGTTGGAACAGACATACTCAGCAACTGGCAGAACATAAACACTGGATCCCTGACATGTGGAGTAAGGATTTATATGACAGGAAGAGTTAAGTGAAAGCTATTAGAACTGCTCCTACTTAGGAAAATAGTAAACCAAAAGCAATACTGCATTCCTGGAGGGATTGCAGAGATAACTGCCACCATCAAGGACTTGAAGGATGCAGGGATGGTGGTTCCCTCCAGAGCCCCATTCAACTTGCCTTTTTGAACTGTGCAAAAAAGAAATGGATCATGGAGAATGACAGTGGATTATCAAAAATTTAACCAGGTAATGACTCCAATTGTAACTGCTATTCCAGATGTGGTTTCATAGCTTGGGCAAATTAATACATCTCCTGGTACCTCTTATGAGCTATTGATCTGGCCAATGCCTTTTTCTCCATACCTGTTTTTAAGAACCAACGTAAGTTTGCTTCAGCTGGCAAGGCCAGCGATACACCTTCACTGTCCCCCCTCAGAGGTATATAAACTCTCCAGCCCTATGTCATTTATCCAACAAGGACCTTGATCACTTTTCCCTGCCACAAGACATCACACTGGTCCATTACAGTGATAGCTTTATACTGATTGGACCTAGCATGGAAGAAGTATCAATGACTCTGGACATATTGGTAAAACATTTGTGAGCTAGAAGGTAGGAAATTAATCCAACGAAAATCCAGGCACCTTCCATCTCAGTGAAATTTCTAGTGTCCAGTGGTGTGGGGCATGTTGAGATATGCCTTCTAAAATTAGGGATAAATTATTGCACCTGACCCTTCCTACAACTACTCTGTGTGTGCTACTCTGGAGTGTTTATCAAATAACTCAAAAAGCTACTAGTTTTGAGTGGGGCTCAGAACACGAGAAGGCTCTGCACCAGGTTCAGGCTGCCATGCAAACAGCTCTGCCTCTTGGGCCGTATGATCTTATTGATCCAATGGTGCTTGAAGTGTCAGTCACAGACAGAGATGCTGTTTGGAGTATTTGGCAGGCCCCTATTGGTGAAACATAGCACAGACTCATAGGATTTTTGAGGAAATCCCTGAAATCCTCTGCAAATAACTATTCTCCTTTTAAGAAACAAATTTTGGCTTGTTACTGGACCTTAGCAGAGACTGAATGCTTAACCATGAGCCATCAAGTCACCACACTGCCTGAGCTGCCCTTCATGAACTAGCTGTTGTCTGACACACAGAGCCATAAAGTCAGAAATGCACAGCAGCACTCCATCATTAAATGGAAGTGGTATATACAAGATTGGGCCTGAGCAGGACCTGAAAGCACCCATAAGTTGCATGAGGAAGTGCCCAAAATGCCTGTGATCTCCACTCCTGTCACATTACCTTCCATCTCCCAGTCTGAACCTGTGGCCTCATGTGGAATTCCTTATGATCAGTTGACTGAGGAAGAGACAATTCATCCTAGTTTACAGATGGTTCTGCACAATATGCAGGAACCACTTGAAAGCAGACAGAGATAACACTACAGCCTCTTTCTGGGATCTCCTGAAGGACAGTGATGAAAGGAAATCCTCCTAATGGGCAGAACTTTGAGCAGTGCACCTGATTGTTCATTTTGCTTTGAAGGAGAAATGGCCAGATGTGTGATTGTATAGTGATTAATGGGCTTTGACCAATAGGTTGGTTGGATTGTAAGGGACTTGGAAGGAACATGATTGAAAAATTGGAGATAAGGAGGTATGGGAAAGTGGTATGTGGATAGACTACTCCGAATGGGCCAAAGAAGTAGATTAATTTGTGTCTCTTGTGAATGCTTATCAGTGTGTGAGCTTGGCAGAGGAGGATTTTAATGATCAAGTGGATAGGATGACACGTTCTGTGGAAACCAGTCATCCTTTTTCCCAAACCACTCCTCTCATTGCTCAATATGCTAATGAACGAAGTGGTCCTGGTGGCAGGGATGGAGGTAATGCATGGGCTCAGAAACATGGACTTCTACTCAGCAAGGATGAATGGGCTACAGCCACTGCTGGCTCCCCTATCTGCCAGCGGCAGAGACCAACACTGAGTCCCCATTATGGCAACATTCCTACAGGTGATCAGCCAGTAACACAGTGGCAGGTTGATTACATTGGACCTCTTCCATCAGGGAAAGGCAGTGTTTTGTTCTTACTGGGACAGACACTTACTCTGGATACAGATTTGCCTTCCCTGCACCCAATGCTTCTGCCAAAATGACCATCCACAGACTTACAGAATGCCTTATCCACCATCATGATATCCCACATATGGATTCATTTCACAGCAAATGATGTGTGGCAATGGCCCCATGCTAATGGAATTCACTGGCCTTACCATGTTCCCCATCATCCTGAAGTAACTGGCTTGATAGAACGATGGAATGGCCTTCTTGAAGACACAATTACTGTGCCAGCTAGGTTGCAATACCTTGCAGGGTTGGGGCAGTGTTCTCCAGGAGGCTGTATATGCTCTAATCTAGCGTCCAATATATAGTCCCATAGCCAGGATTCATGTGTCTAGGAATCTAGGAGTGGAAATGGGAGTGGCACTACTCACCATTACCCCTATTGACCCAATTGCAAAGTGTTTGCTTCCTGTCCCCATGACCCTATGCTCTGCAGATCTAGAGGTCTTTGTTCTATAGGGAGGAATGCTCCCACTTGGAGACACGTCAGTGATTCCATTGTGCTGGGAGTTAAGAAAGTAGCCAGCCACTTTGGCTTCTTATGCCTCTGGTTCAACTGGGAAAGAAAGGAGTTACCGTTTTGGCTAGTGTGATTATCCTGATCACCATAAAGAAATTGTATTGATATTACATAATAGAGGTAAAGAAAAGTATGTCTGGAATGCAAGAGATCCCTTAGAGCATCTCTTAGTACTACCACGCCTTGTGATTAAAGTCAATGGAAAACTACAGCAACCCATTTTTTTTTTTAATTTTTATTTTTTATATTTTATTGTACTTCAGGTGAAGGCTTACAGAACAAATAGTTTCTTATGAAACAGTAGTACACATGTTGTTTTATGACATTGGTTAACAACCCCACAACATATTAACCCTCTAAATTCTCAACCTTTTTTTTTTTTTTTTGAAAATACACATACCCAAAGATACACCATTTCAAAAATTTCTACATGCACAGTTCAGTGACATTGACTATGCTCTTCCAATTGTACAGCAACCCAATTTTGACATAACTAATAATAGCCCTGACCCTTCAGGAATGAAGGTTTGAGTTACCCCACCAGGCAAAGAACTATGACCAGCTGAGGGTAAAGGGAATATGGAATGGGTGGTGGAAGAAGGTAGTTCTAAATACCAGCTACAACCATGTGACCAGTTGCAGAAACAGGGACTGTAATTGTTATGAGTATTTTTTCCTTGTATGTGTGCATCAAATATTTTTGTTTTCTTCACTTATAAAATGTAAGATGTAAACAGGGCTAGTGCATTTTCGTTGGTACACGTAATAGTTGTATCATGTTAGGCACAAGTATGACTTTATAATTGTCTTTATTTAGAGATTATGTATGGTTTAAAAAAATGCGTACGGGTGCCAAGTTGACAAGGGGTGAGCATTAATGGTTAAGGCTGTGTGTCAACTTGACTGGGCCATGATTTTTAGAGGTTTGGCAGTTATGATGTAGTTTGGCAGTTATGTAATGATGAGATCACCAGCAGGATGAGATCTGATCTAATGTAATCTCCTCCATGATGAGATCTACTATGAGCAGCCAATTAGTTGAAAGGGAGTTTCCTTGTGGGTATTGCCTGCATCTAATATATATGGACTTTTGGTCAAAACTCACTGGCTTTTGCTCTGCTCTGGTTCCTGCATTCGGCTTGTCATCATCTGAACTCTGGTTCTTGGGACTTGAGCCAACAGCCCGTTATCTTACCTGACGATCTCTTGGATTTGTGAGCCTCCACAGCACATAAGCCAGCCTGTTTTTGGCATGCTGATCTTGGATTTGTAAGCCCCTGTTGCCATATTAGTGAGAAGAAGCCTATAGCATGATGTCTGACCCGTGGGTTTGGGACTTTCCAGCCTCTACAACAGCATCAGCCATTTCCTGAATATATATATATATACACATACACTTCACTGTTTTTGCTTCTCTTGAGAATCTAGCCTAAGACAGTGATTGTACCATGGCACTTTCAGGAAGAGGTGTTGCCACAATTCTTGAAAAAGAATACATTTTTGAGTGTCCTGACAGCTACTTGTAGATCCCCAGTTATCTGTAACCCTCAGAGTGTCTTTTCCTGAGAGTTTCCATGGAGTGGACAATGCAAGTGGATACAGATTTGGCTTTTTTCAATGTATCAGCGAGCGGTGATCAATGGAAAAACCTAATCTCTACCTAGAACCTCCTGACAGTTTGTTCTATGCTGAGAGGCCTCTAGGTCTTGTCCTTATTTTGCTGGTTTCTTGCTTGTTGTCAATGATCAGAGGTCTACCTAATGGTTATTTTTTGAGCATACTGACTTTATGGGAACTTTTGGAAATAGCTGGCAGGACCCATATCCATGAAGAAAAGAAGACCTCTCCCGGTAACCTCAGCCTTACTGCTGTTTTTGTAAGAAAGTTTCTGAGGATGATTCCTGTTGGCCAGTTGTCCTTGGAGTCATTTGAACACAGAAGGAATCCTCCACAAGATGTGTACACGCACTGATCCAGTGTGACACTGAGCTGAAAAAAAGACATCTGTGGTTAGCATCTTGAGGTATTAGATGATGTATATATACCATGGAAGTGCCATGACTCAGGTCAATGATGACATCTAAAATTGTCTTGAAGAGAGATGATGACAGAAATATCTTGCTCAATAAGATAACGCTGAAGCCCAGCGGGAAATTCCTTTTGCCCAACCTTATTTATCTTCTTCAAAATGGACATTCATTTTGATTCTTTTCACCTCCCTCAAGGTGTAGAAAATATGGAACTGACTGATGTTTGACAGGATCATCCCTTGGCTCTTTTCCTCTTTTTGTGTGATTTAGAAAGACCTGCTTCCAAGAAATCCACCATTCCATGGATTAAGGTGAGTGATTCTATATCATTATAACTGGTCCCACCTGACATTTGGAAAAGTGAAGAGGAAGCCCTAAGGAAATTGTGTTTGGGGAATGATATGAGAGGTGTCCCCCCTTTTTTTTCTTAACCTTGACTGATTCACTAAGTGGTGGTGATCCTCATGGGTGAATATTTACGATTCACAGAAGCTCGAAACAATTTCAACTTGAGTAATTTTTGATATCCTGGTGCCCAGTCCAATATGTCGTATTGAATTGGGAGAAATACACAACTCAACAAATGTGTTTTTATAATTATGGGATATGAATGACTAGTAGCTATACCAGGACACTGGTAAACTTCCCTTAATTGAGTTCCTGTGTCAATTGAGGTTGGAATCTTAGGTTCTGCAGTGTAGTTTTCCCATGAAACTTGGAATTGGATGAGCTATTGAGTAGTCTGATACCTGACTCTACCTTTAAAGAAAAGGTGGCTGAGCAAATTTCTGTGTAGAAAAACTAATGTGAAGGATGATGCCAGGTGTTAAAGGTGAGGCCCTGAATATGACTAACTTTAACAGTTCAGGCCTCATGAAGTCAGGATCAGCTGATCCTCTCCACAAGGAGTGAAAGACTGACTGCTGCCTTGAGTGTATGAAAAATCATTTTTTCTGAAAGTTCTTTGGGATCCTGTGGAGTTTCGATGTTTGTCCTGCTCTGTATATTCCAAAGGATCTTCTTCTGGTTTAAATACAGGAGGAGATGCATTCTTCCTGCTGTGATATTTTGGCTGGAGGTGGATTGGGTCCCCATAGGGGTCAAGAGTACAGTAATAGGACTATGGCACTTCCAGGAAGAGATGTTGTCACAATTATTGAAAAGAAATAAAATTCCCAATCCCCTGACAGCTGATTTGTAGATCCCCAGTTTTCTGGACACCTACAGTGTCATTTCTAGAGAGTTTCAATGGACTAGACAATGTCTGTGGATACAGATATGGCTTTCTTCAATATATCATCCAGGGGTAATCAACGGAAGATCCTGTTCTCTGCATAGAACCTCCTGAGAGTTTTGTTCTATGTCCAGAGACCTCAAGGCCTTGTCCTTACCTTGCTTGTTTCTTGCTTTTTGTCAATGGTCAGCAGGCTACGTAATGGGTAACTTGTGGGGGCACTAATTTTATTGATAGCTTTGGGAATACCTGCAAAAGCCATATCCATGAGGAAATGAACTTGTCTATTTTGACCTGTGTCGTACTGCTGTGTCCTTTAAAAAGTGTTCTGAGGTTGATCCCTGTTCACCTGCTTTCATTGAGGATCATTCTAACCTACCAGGAAACCTGAAGAGGATATTGAATACTATGAGCCAGTGTGACACTGAAATGGAAGGGAGACATCTGTGGTAAGCATCTTGAGTTCTAAGGGATAAAAAATACCCAACTGACTGATGTTTGTCAGGCTCATTCCTTGGCTCTTTTCCTTTTTTGTGTGTGATTTAGAAAGACCTGTTTCCAAGAAATGAACCATTCAATGGATTCAAGGTGAGTAATTGTATGTCATTATAACTGCTTCCATCTGACACTTGGACAAGTGAAGATGCAGCCCAAAGGCATTTAGTTTTGGTAGTCAGATGAGATGTGTCCCCTCTTTTTTTCTGGACCTTAACTGATTCACTAAGTGGTGGTGATCTTCATGGGTGAATAATTAGGATTCACAGGAACTTCAAACAATTTCAAATTGAGTAGTATTTGATATCCTAGAGCAGAGTCCGATATGTTATATTGAATTGGGAGAAATACACAATTAGACAGATGTATTTTTCTGAAGTATTTATGGGATTCGATGGCCTGGATCTATTCCACCAAAACTGGTAAAAGTCCCATAATCGAATGCCTAAGTTGTGGCTGGAACCTGAGGTTCTGCAGTGTGGTTTTCCCGTGCATGCTGGAGTTGGGTGAACTGTTGAGTACTCTGATACCGCAAGCCCAGTCCTGTACTATGCTCAGAATTATGCTTGAGCCCATTATTGCAGCAACTGTGTCAGTCCATCTCGTCGAGGGTCTTCCTCTTTTTCGTTGACTCTCTACCAAGCAAGATGTCCTTCTCCAGGGACTGATCCCTCCTGACAACATGTCTAAAGTATGTAAGAGGTAGTCTTGCCATCCTTTCTTTTAAGGAGCATTCCGGTTGTACTTCTTCCAAGACAAAAGAAAGGGTGGCTACACAGATTTCTGTGTAGAAAAGCTAATGTGAGTGATGATGCCAGTTGTTAAAAATGAGGCGTTGGAGATGACTAGCTTCAGTATTCAGAAATAGGAAGACTTGATAGACTGATCTTCTACTCACAGAATGAAGGACTTACTGCTGCATTGCACATGTGAAAAGATCACTTTTTACTAGTAGTTCATTATAATCATACAGAGATGTGATGAGAGTCCTGTTCTGTGTATTCTAAAGGATCTTCTGCTGGTTGAAAAACAGGAGGAGATGGGTTCTTTCTGCTAAGAATATTTTTGTGTGAGGTGGATTGGGGCCCTGGGCGGGTCAAGAGTGACATCAAACAATAATAGGACTATGGCACTTTCTAGAAGAGGCGATGCCACAATTCTTGAAAAGGAATACATTTCCTAGTGTCCTCACAGCTAACTTGTAAATCTTCAGGTTTGTCATTTCCTGAGTTTCCGTTCACTGGACAATGTCTGTGGATACTCATATGACTGTTAAATATATCAGCCAGAGCTAATCAACTGAAAAGCCTCTTCTGCATGGGACCTCCTGAGAGATTGTTCTACGTCCAGAGACCTTTAGGCCTTGTCCTTATCCTATGTTTCTTGCTTTGTGTCAAAGCTCAGCTGCCAACCTAATGAGTTACTTGTAGGAGTACTGATTTTATCTATCCCTTTGGGAATATCTGCTAAACCACAGCCATAAAAAAATGAATTTCTCTTCTTTGACCTCTGTCTTATTGCTTTGTCCTTTAAAAAGGGTTTGTGAGAAACTTCTCTATTGTTCTGCTTTCATTGGGGTCATTCAAAACCTCGTCCCCCAGGAAACAGGAAGAGGATATGTGAACACTCTGATCCAGTCGGACACTAGGCTGGAAGGAAGACATCTGTGGTAAGCATCTTGAGGTCTCAGGGGATTTCCACCTGGGGAATGACATGGCTCAGGTCAATGATGACACCTAAACTTGTCTTAAAGAGAGACGATGACAAAAAATCATACTTAATAGGATTACGCTGAGGCCTAGGGGAAAACGCCTTTTGCCCAATCGTATTTATCTTCTTCAAAGTGGACCCTCATTTTGATTCTTTTCACCTCCCTCAAGTGATCGAAAATACCTAACTTCCTGATGTTTGTCTGCCTCATTCCTTGGCTCTTTTCATGTGATTTAGAAAGACCTGCTTCCAAAAATTTCACCATTGCAAGGATTCAAGGTGAATGAGTGATTCTGTGTGGTTATAACTGGTCCCATCTAACACTTGGACAAGTGAAGACACAGCCTGTCATGGATTGAATTGTGTCCCCCCAAAACATATCAGTTTGGCTAAGCCATGATTTGTTGATGAGATGGCATTAGCAGCAGTTATACTAACGAGGCAGCACTCAATCTGCAAGATTGGGTTATGTCTTGGTCCAATCTCTTTTGAGATATAAAAGAGACAAGTGAGCAAAGAGACAGGGGAACCTCATACCACCAAGAAAGTAATGCCAGGAGCAAGATGCAGCCTTTGGACCCAAATTTTCTGTGCTGAGAATCTCCTAGTCCAGAGGAAGATTGATGACAAGGACCTATAGAAAGCCTTCCCCTGGAGCAGGTGCCCTAAATTTGGACTTCTAGCCTACTAGACTGTGAGAGAATAAAATTCTGTTTGTTGAAGCCATCCACTTGTGGTATTTCTGTTATAGCAGCACTAGATGACTAAGACACAGCCCAAAGGTAGTTGGGGTTTGGGAATCAGATGAGACTTTTCTATTCATTTTTTCTTGACCTTGACTGATTGGCTAAGTGGCGATGATATTCATGGGTGAATATTTAGGATTCAAGAACTTGAAACAATTTCAACTTGAGTAATTTTTGATACCCTGGGTCCCAGTCCGTATGTCCTATTGAATTGGGAGAAATATACAACTAGACAAATGTCTTTTTCTAAAATATTTATGGCAGGCAAAGGACTAGGAGCTGTACCGGCAACACTGGTAAACTTCCAATTATTCCACCCCTGTGTCAGTAGAGGCTGGAAACTTAGGTTCTACTTGCACTTTTCCCATAAATCTTGGAATGGGATAAACTACTGAGTAGTCTGATACCTGACTCTACGTTTAAAGAAACGGTAGCTACAGAGATTTCTGGGTGGAAAAGCTAATGTGAGGGATGATGCCAGTTGTATATGGTGAGGCCTTGGAGATGACTAGTGTTATGGATTGAATTGTGTTCCCCAAAATTATCTGTCAACTTGGCTAAGTCATGATTCCCAGTATTGTGTGATTGTTCACCATTTTGTTATCTGTTGTGATTTTCCTATGTGTTGTAAATCCTATCTCTATGATGGTGATAAAATGGGATTAGTGGCAGTTAGGCTAAGGAGGCAGGATTCAATCTACAAGATTTGGATTGTGTTTTGAGCCAATCTCTTTTTTTTTTTTCTTTTGGTTTACTTTTTTAAAAAACTCTTTTTTTTATTGTTGTAATTAAATGAAGTTTACGTTTCAAGTTAGTCTCCCATACAGAAATTTTTTTTTACATAACATTGTTATGAGAAACCAACCGCTCATCCCATTCTGAAGCAGCACACTCCTCCCCTCTGCCCCTGATTCCCCATGAACATTCAACCAGCTCCTAACTCTCTCTGCCTTCCCATCCCACCTCTGGACAGAAGCTGCCCCTTTGG